AACAACGGCTTGCATTTTCATCACACTTAACATTTTGAAACGCAAAACAAAGAAAATATGAAACAATATATTTATTCATTTAATATATCTTTTTATACACACACAATACACCACTTTTACTACAGATATTTTAAGACTAGTTATATTTTTGTGCATCATCAGAAGAGTCAGGTACATCGGAGGCTGAGGATTGCGGCTGGTCGTACGAGGAGGAATGGCTGCTGAGCGGCAGGTCGCCGCCCAACTTGGTGGCGGGGCTGAGCGCGCCCGAGCTGCTGCATCTCGCGCTCGGGGACCTCGTCTCCGGCTTGCTGCAGCGCGGCAAGTTCACGGTGAGTCTAGACGTCTGCCTCTGCTGTGTCTTAAAATAATCTTTGACTTATTTAACGTGTTTTACCGTGATAATGGCGACTAGCTTTATCGTCAGTAGTCTGACCTAGTTTAATTAATCAAAATTACTTGGTGTCACAAAAAAATGGGCGCAATTGTTAATATTTCTTTTGGAATAACTTAAGAACTCGTATGATAATATAAAAAGTCACTGGTTGTCAAAACTTGTACAAAACATAATGTCTAGATTCTCCAAGAGCTGTGTACATACCTGGGCAGTAGCGGGGAGGGCGCGCTGTTCGCGCTGCACCGGCTGGCGCGCGCCGCTCGCTCTAGAAGCAGCGAGAGAGCTGCCAAGTGAGTATACCTTTACAGATGGCAGCTCATACGATGGTTATTTCAAGGAGTGTCCAAAATAAATAATAAGAGAACTAATGAAAGACAATGTTCTGGCATTTCAAGGTTACTTCAAGGCTATGATTGTGGCCGCTGGCTTGAACGCCGTTCAACAAGGAATCTTATTACTACTATTACTTACTTACTTACTTATTATTACTTATTACTTACTCTTACTAATATTATAAATGCGAATTTTTAGATGGATGGATGGATGGATGTTTGTTTGAGGTATCTCCGGAACGGCTGTATGGTTTTTTGTTGAAATTTGGCATAGATGTACATAGCCTGGAAGAACACATAGACTACTATTTTTTTAATTGAGCGCAGACGGTATCGCGTGCAACAGCTAGTAGTAATATAAAAATTAAGTGAAAAACAAAGTCCGTTGAATTGTATACATCATAAAGGTTTAGAGACATTTGTGTTTGTATATACTATAGGGTGGGTACAAATTGCTGTAATAACATTAATAATACAAACATCTCCGGACCCGGTGCCGGACACTCGACACCGGACATCGGACAGATTGTACGATTTATTTGTCACGCACGCGTTGTAATAACGGACACAACTAAACCTTTGTTGGACATTGTTGTAATTTCATTTCCGGAATGGACGAACTCTGTGTGGGGTACTAATTGAGATTTACTAACCTAATTTTCCATGTAAACTAATGACTACCAAACTTAATTAAGCCTGTAACTAGTTATTTTCTTTATTACGATACGACCTAATACTATTCGCGTTTCGTAGACTTTTAAGCATAGTGTTTAAATAAACATAATACTAAATTAACTATGAATGAATGAAGTAATATTTGCAGTAATTGGAAGTTACCGGAGTCAGTGGATGAAGCAAGACAGTCAGTGCAGCGCTACCGGAGGCGGCCACCAGACGATGTGTCCGGGGATGAGGCGACCCCGCAGCCCCCG